AGTTTTTTTTTTCATTTTTCTTGCTTATTATACTTTTAAACCTATAGAAATATTGTATAAGACCCTATTTCAAACTCTAATGAATCTGTTTCTACGACAAAAACGTAGATCTTGCTTCTTTTTATTACTGTCACAGCGCGAGGCGGATGAGTTGCAGGCACGGCGTGGAGGAGGAAGCGTGGTCGTGTTGATTCATGGCGAAGGAGAAGAAGAACCACAATCGAGCTTCACTGAGGTTCATCTGGGTCACGGATGATGACCAGGATTCACGGTGAAAAGGAGCTATAACATAGATGACATGATTCTCCACATAAGTTTTTAAAGTATTGTGTTTTTATTGTATGAAATTAATTGACTTAAAAAAAATTACAAGATCTGAAAAAGAAAACAAGATCTGAGAAAGAAGAGAAGATGAGAAATTAGTATATCCTACCTATTATGTTTTAGAAGTTAAAATTGTTTTAGGATGTAATAAAAACTCAAAAACTGTCTTTAAATGTAAATGCTCTTGTATATGGCGGGGATCTCCCTTCTTTTGACTTACCTCTCTTAGTTTATATGAACCGTGTTCATTGTGACTCTATGAAGTAGAGTGGCTGGTTCAGGTCATCATTCCCCTAGTTTCATGTCGTTTTGGGCGTTGACAGCTATGGTCAACGATGTTCGATAGGCTAACATTAATGGCACTATCAACTCTTCAATACCGGGTTGTTAGAGATTCTCTGACAAGGGCATGCATAGTCGATGGACCTTCACCTAGTGGACTGAGACAAGGCTTGGATGGATTTTGATTGTCTTTGGACCAGGCTAATTCAGCGAGGTGACAATACCACCTTCAACAATGAGTTAAAATTGATCTGGGTGATGATTACAACAAGTTCAAAGATTTAATTTATATTATTATTTGTGAAGTTATTTCGATTACAACAAGTTCAAAGATTTAATTTATATTATTATTTGTGAAGTTATTTCTTTTACGTTTGATCTCTCACTAGGGATGGCAATTGGGACCACCCGCCCCGCCATGACCCGACCCGCTGCGGTCTCCTTCTCCGGCGGATCTGTGCGGGTCAGCCCGCCGTGAACCGCGGTGCTCAACACTTCTAACCAAACCCGCCCCGCTAACTTTGTAAGACTTTGTGGGCCAGCCCGCGGGTCGAGAAAATGCAAAGCTAACTGATAGTTGTTCTCGATTACAGGGTCCAAAATCTCACTGAAATTCGATGAATAAACCACTTTGTACCTGTAGTGTAAAACAAGAGTCTTAAGCAACTTACAAGAACATCTAAACATATAGTAAACCACCTCAGTGATGTTACCTGGCAGAGAGAGGCGAGAAGAATCCAGAGGTTCTCTCATTAGAACCGATATAAAGAGTTCTCCCTGGTGGAATCTGCTTCTGTATCCTCCTCATGATAAACTCTGGACGTGTGTCTCTGTCTAAGTGTGGAAACTGAGTTCTTTCAACACGAAACCTGTCTTTTCTTGTTTTCAGTTTGTCACCTCGACGAACATGGATTGCATCGTAGTCACTGAGTTGTGCTTTTATCTGTTCAACCAAACATTAGTTGATCTTAAAGCTAAGACAACCCTCAAAGCTAGATTGTATTAAAAATAACCTTTTCTGCAGCATTTCTCAATCATGGTGCTGCCATACTAGGGAGAAAAGAATAAGGAAGCATGACGTTGCTACGATTAATCCTATCCTTACATTCAACAAACCTAACACGAAGAAGATATTAAGCAACATAATGCTATTGAATCAACAATGCTCAAGTCATCAGACTGGTAATTTCAAACATTTGGTTACCATGCGAGAGGAATTGCATAGTGACTAGAGTCATTAAGCTCACGCCTACTAACTCCATTCACATGCGCCAATCCCTTGCATAGTGCCAAACAATGCTTCACTAATACGTAATCCACTTTATAAACCAATGTTTTATTACCAAGTCATTACCAATGTTTCATTACCAAGTCATTACCAATGCAGATTATTTGTATGCAAACGTAAAGTAAACAAAGCAGGCTATTTGTCTACAAACAAACACAACAAATTTTGAAATCTTAACCAAATTTAAATTAAATAAAACACCAAATTTAGTCTTAACCAAATATAAATAAATGAAATACCAAAGTCAAACAATGAAATCCCAAGTGTAAATAAAAACCAAATCCAAACAACCAAATATCAAATGTTAATAAGAGCAAAACACCAAATGAAAATAAAAAGTTCAAGCCTCTTCTTCTCCATCTTCTCCATCGACAATAAAAAGACTCAAAATAATTAAAAAATATTTTAAACTATTAAATAGAATGCAAAAAAAGTGGAAGAAAACACTCACATCATAGTTCCCAAACATTCCCATAGATCCTTCACCACAAGTTTTCTGTGGAACCGTCTCGCGTGGCTCTGTAGAAGGTGAGTTTGTCTTAGATTTTTTGTCATAAGACTCAAATAGAGTACCAAGATTTGTGCGCAAGTTCTTCAACTTCACATCACATGTGCTCATGTCAAGCTTCCCTAAGCAATATTCGACAATTGAGAGCTTAAAACGTGGATCAAAGATTGCTGCCATTGCAAAAACTCCACTGACGTCTTTCCAATACTTATCGAACTTCTCTTTCATCGGTGGCACCATGTCTCTAATAATCTCATCTTCGCTTTCTTTATGCGTCTGAAGCCAATCATGGATCATCCACACTTGATAGAAATACAAGTTTGAAGTTGGGTAATGCGAACTTGACATCAAACGTGTGATCTCAGCAAAAGGCCCCAAAAAACAGCTTATTTTTTCAACTCGTGTCCATTCCTCAGCTGTAGGTGCCATTTTGTAACCTCTCTTATCAAATGTCTCCAACTGAATGAATGCCTTTCGATAATTGATGGCTCTTTCAAGCATGTAGTATGTAGAATTCCATCTTGTTGAAACATCTAATATCAGACCCACATCTTCCTCTATTTTCGCAGCAGCCACACATTTTGCAAACAATACTTCACGCGTTTGCGATGCTGTTACATACTTAACGCTCTCTCTTACTTTGTGCAAAGACTCTTTAATAACCTTCAAACCATCTTGCACTATGAGGTTCAGTATGTGAGCTGCACATCTGACATGAAAAAAGTCTCCGGCACACAACAAGTCATCCCTCAACATCAGCTGCGATTTGACAATATCTTGCATCGAGTCATTACGCGTAGCATTATCTAATGTGAGAGAGAACACCTTTTTTTCGATACCCCACTCTTGCAGTGATTCAAGGAGTTGTGTTGCAACTTGCATACCATTATGTGGTGGTGGTAGAGCACAAAACGTCAAAATTTTGGAGTTTAACTTCCAATTCCGATCAATGTAATGCGCAGTCACACACATATAACCCTCTCGCTTAAGAGAC